TTTAAAAGTAGGTTCTACAGCAAAAGGGTAACAGCAATAGCCCATTGCCACTGGCACTTAGTAGATGCATATTAAAAAGCATCATTTTTTTTTTGAGAGAAATTAATGTAAGCCCTGTTGATCCATGGAATTTAGTTCAGTGTCTCAACCCCACACGGAGTTAGATTAAAAATGAAAACACACTCTTGAATTTCTCATCCCTAATCCAGCCCCCAGTAACATTCACCTTCACTTACAACTTCTTGCCACTTAATACAGAGACAGATTTCCTTACATAAAGGTAAGCACCAAGGAAGTATACTCTTAGAAACCATTAAGCTTCTAGGCTCAATCCAATCCAACAATGAGCAGGAGCCAGGTATTTACCTCCTGTTAGGTAGCAAGCCAGGTGAAATAAAAAAAGTGACATTTGGGAGAAACAGAAAAAAACCTTTTGTAAGCAGAGGTGATATGATGACCAGGGCCTGGTAAGCATTCCTGGGAGAGTACCATTTTCACTGATCAGTTTCACTGTTTCTACCATAATAACTTTTGCAGGTATAAAATCCTGCCTGGTATAAACTCTTACCTGGCTGACAAACTCTTGCCTGGTATAAAATCTTGCCTGGCATAAAATAGTTGGGTAAATTAAACCTAGGTAGGCTTGCTTAAAGACAGAAATGTATTCATTTGCAGATGCAATGCATTCCAGCCCTTTACTGTGGTTCATCTGTATTCTGAGTATGAGAAAGTAATGAAGGCTGCCACCCACCTTGATTCTTGTCATCTGGCTCAGGCTCCGGTTTCAGTCTTTTCACACTGTTGCCACTCTCTGAGCTGCAACAAAACACATGGTGATGTGAGCTATGTCTAATCTTGGGGATCAAAGCTTAGGGAATCAGGAGCTCCAATAACTATTTATATGGGTCTTAGGCAGTCTCAAGAAACTGGGATGATAAAAATGAATGAAAAGTATTCATTTCAGATTCTTAATCTCCTTCCAATTGCATCATTAGTCATAAAGACAATTTAAACTCCTGACAAATCCAGGGAGTAAAGCACTGTATTTTCAAGCATCACTTCAAACTTCAGATTCAGATTCTTGGCTGTCTTTATCACTCAAATTGGTTAGAATCACAGATGGATTTCAAGAGCATTTAGACATGTTCACAAATGACAAACATTTAGTAATTACAGATTGAAGAAAACATCTTCAGTGACATGCCAGAGATTCTAAGAGTCACCCAAAAGATTTTTCATTAAAAGAATGTATAAGGAATATATTTCAGTGAAGAACGAAATGATCCCAGAAGTAAGGGGTGGTGAACAAAGAAACTGGCAAACACAAATATAAATCTAAACAAATACTGTCTGTATCAAAAAATAACATCTAGTTTGTGGTGTTCAACATGACAATACTGAAGTCCTGCACAACAGCAGCATGTAAAGAAGGAAGAGGTGATTGTAGCTAAAGGTTCTAAGGTCCGTGGGACGTATGTCTGGTAAATTTCAAGGTTGGCCACTATGAGAAAAAAAATAAAGTATGTAAATCTAACTAGGAGAAAGAAAAAAATGAATGAAAGAATTTTATATCTCAGTCATTTTGTTAAATGCAAGAATACAAGTTTAAAAAAAAATTTTTTAAGACAGAGTTTCTCTATTGCCCAGGTTGGAGTGCAATGTCGCAATCTCGGCTCACTGTAACCTCCACCTCCCAAGTTCAAGTGATTCTCCTGCCTCAGCCTCTCGAGTAGCTTGGATTACAGGCGCCCACAGCATGCCTGGCTAATTTTTGTATTGTTTTAGTAGAGATGGGGTTTCACCAGGTTGGCCAGCCTGGTCTCGAACTCCTGACCTCAGGTGATCCACCACCTCGGCCTCCCGAAGTGCTGGGATTACAGGCATGAGCCACTGCGCCTGACCTCAGCCACAGTGCGTGCCAGGAAAAATATTTTTTTAAAGTCAAAAGACATTAATATGATAGAAATTATATTTTAAAATTTTACTATAAACAGACCAAATCTACTAATGAAAAGCTATTAAAGGACTAAATTAATTATCTTATTTGTTTATTTATTTATTTATTGTGAGATGGAGGCTTGCTCTGTAGCCTAGGCTGGAGTGCAGTGGCACAATTTCAGCTCACTGCAACCTCCACCTCTTGGAATCAAGCGATTCTCCTGCCTCAGTCTCCTGAGTAGCTGGGATTACAGGCATGAGTATTTTTAGTAGAGATGGGGTTTCTCCATGTTGGCCAGGCTGGTCTCGAACTCTTTACCTCAAGTAATCCACCCGCCTCAGCCTCCCAAAGTGTTGGGATTACAGGCCTGAGCCACCACGCCCAGCTTTAATAGACTAAATTTAAAAGCAACT